GATTTTCAGTACAAATCGGCAATTTCATACTTTAACCCCTATTATTAGCTAATTTGTCACTACGCAGTAATAAATGTGCTTCCATTTACACGCTAAGAAATCCATATAAGTTGTAAAGTATTTTTAACCGACTTCAAATAAGGAGGATGTTCTCAATTCGACTGTATGTTCTTTTTTTTTGTATGTATGTTACGCGATAACTTCGATATTTGTGAACCGATTTTCATGATTCTTTTTTTGTTGGAAAGGGGGTGTGTCTTTCCATAGTGGTCCCATTTCATTTTGAAGAAAATCATCCACCTCGAAGGGTGGCTGTTCACGCATGAATATTCATTTTCACAGATAGCGCCTAACATTAATTTAGGAGCCAATTACTTTAATGGTTGATTTTGCTATTTCTCCAATTCAAGGCGTTTTTCTCTCAATAAACTTTGAGTAGTGAGAACCGATTTTTATTATCTCCAGTGTCAAGTCCTGTATAGTGGCGAACTAGGGGATATTTCAATAAAACTTAGCAAATAGACGTAATTCTACGTACTTTTGAGATCGGTTTTTTTAGTATTCTGTACTGAGATTATTGTTAATGTAATTAAAAGTACTGCTGATTCACACTTTCAAATCTAGATAGCGCTGTTAGGTACTTTCGCAGCTATCGTCATTTTACAATCTGTCACTTTTTTAAATACGACTCTTTTGGTGATATCGACGAGTGCGGGTATTTTGTATAGGCAAGTTCTTTTTAGTTGTTAAACTTAATATTACTATTTCACTTGGATTGTTAAAAATAAGAGTTAAATGTGTATTTAAAAATATAACCATAAAATTAGGTGATCGGGGAAGTGTACCTACTTTACCCCTTTTAAAGTGTGTAAACCAGGTCAAAAATCTTTTATTACATTTTGTTCTAAGCACGAATAGTGTTTTTTTAATTTTCTTTTAAAAGGTTTTTCACCGCTGTCTGAAACACAGTATGACACTTAAATATTTAAAACAATCTATGTAAATGATATAGGTGACAAATTATTGCTTTTTTGTACTTAGGTAACATAATCTTGCATTTTACAATAAAAACTATATAGCTACCTATCGTGCATTAGTCACACTTGCCTCAGAGGGCAAGTGTGCCACACGTACCCATGCTGTTATTATATAAAAACGAGCCCTGTACCCCACCTTCACTGTGGGGTGTGGCTCGGCCCGCGGCGCGTGGTAGCGTCTACATTACGAGGAGCACAGCGATTAGTACTATGGGCGCTAGATAATTTGTTCCAGGATTTGGGCCAATTTAGGAAACAAACATTTCTTATTGCCTTCAGAGTTATCGTTATTCTAGTATTCTTAGTACGGACAACAGCACATCAGACGACACACTTTTGTTCAAAAATCGCCTCCAGTGCAACGGAACAAGATACGTCAATGTGTAGCTTGATGTGCTGGCGAGTGTACAAGAAGTTCCCTAATTTGCAACCTGAAAATTGGTGTGATCGTCTAGCATTTTTTTCCTCTAAAATACTTCTCTTTGGCATAGCTTCCAAGAAAAGAGAAACGGTCGAGATACAACGACGCTATAAGTATCTCAGTTCCACTAGATCGGGAAATATGCCTTACATTTTAAGTAAGATCTTGTACTCGTATTAGAGCCTCCGTATACTACCTACGTACGGTGTCGTACAGACGCTTCGAGCTTCACCCTCTGCTGAACCTCGGCTTGTGGCCTCGGCACTACCTTTATTTTGAAAAATGAATATAGCTCTTTAATGTCGGCCATATTTAAAAATTGCAAAAATATATTTTGATCAAAATATATTATTGTCAGGCAATCCTAGAAATCTTTTCATGCCAATTTTCATTTCGAGCAAAGCAAGTTTTTTCAACAGCTAATTATATCGAAAAAGTACGCATGTACGCCGGCGTAACAAAACGACAAAGTAAAAACGACGGAAACAAAATTTTTACACCAAATTATGACTGAAGCCATGGCTTGCCATGGCATGCCAGTTTCAGTCGGCTTAGAGCAATAACATTTTGTATGGCAGCCAAATTTTAACCACAAATTATTATGAAACATGCATAGAGACCCCGACATGCAAAATTAAAGCACATTGTTATCTGCCGCCAAAAATCGCTGGTATGGCGGCCATATTGAAAAGTGGCAAAAACCTAAATAATAAAATAACCTAAAAAAACTAAAATAAAAAACCTGATAATAATTTGTAATCTATATAGATTACAAATTATTATCAGACACTCCTAGGTGCTTTCACGTGCCAATTTTCGAAGGGATCAGAGCAACCAACAAACGCTTGTACTGCGGCTATATTTAAAAATGGCGAAAAACCAATTTTGACCATAAATTTTTTCTCGGGGTTGATGTTACTCGCGTTGTTCACGTAAACTTGCGTTTACGTTAAGCCTTTCCCAGCTTGTCAGTGGCGCTACCAGGATTGTTTTTTAATAATACCAGGTGACGGGACGAATAAGTCGTACGCCTGATGGCAAGCGACTCGCCTATCCATGACAGTTGCAGTGCCGCTAAGAGCTTTACATCGCAAAATTCTGAGGGGCACTCCCACAGCGCCCGTTACCCTGAGACAAGTTGACAAGTCTGTAAATTCACTAGCACCATAACCCTTCAAAACTGGAACGCAGTAAAGTTCCCATCACTGTTTGGCGGCAGAAATAGGTAAAGTAGCTTAACAAGGAGCTCTAATTGCTTGGACCTCTTGCTAACAACTAACTGATCCAGACCGATAGTCTGTGGTTGTGAATGCCCCACTGGGTACTTCCGATCATTGTCTAGTGAAAACTATACTCTCCACCCGAGCAGGGACCAAGTGTTATGAGACGGATGTGGCGATACAGTTTAGCAGACTGGGATGAAATGCGCCACATCTTTGCTTCATATCCCCGGAAGGCTTGTTTCTCTTCAGGAGACTTGTCAAGCTGTGCTGATGCTGTAGTCGACGACTTGTTTGAGTATGGAGTATTTATTACATATCATACTCTGATGTAGGTGCCCAAAACATTGCCCAAGACAAAAACAGTTCGCGTACGAGGCTTGGGCAGATGCTTGATTGCGCTCGAGCACTCGGAATCTGAAGAAAGCTTTTAACAAGGCCGCCAAGAAGTGCAAAACGGTGTTACGTAGGGCCAAGTTCGACCATATTACAAGCGCTGCATAGGAGCCAAGCTTGGCCCTTGACCAGCAGGTAGGAAATCCTTTTGATACCTAGCCAAAACGGCCGAAACTAACTTTTATCGCCCATCTTTACCACTTCTGCTTGAGGCCGGACGGCTCGCTGGCCCATACTGTGGAGGAGAAGGCGCATCTTTTTGCCTCACTCTTTGCAGAGTTCGCGTCTGGACGCCGCAGGGAATCTACCACCTACCTTACCGCAGGCTGGCTGCACTATACCTGCATACGTTACGTTAGAACTCTGCGGAGTCTAGACGTGAATAAAGCTAGCGGGCCAGATGGAATTCCAGCAACCAGTCTTGCAGAGTAAGTATGGAAGTGACTGGGATAGGTACTAAACAGTACAATTTAGGTACGCTTTGTTGGTACTAAATTTCCGACTTTCACTTTACTTTTCGTATAACGGTGAATGGGTGAAACAAAAGAAAGTATAAATTTATAATTAATTTTAATCAGACTCATTTCACAACATAAAATGAGAAATACATCTTCGCTCCCAGTTCCTTCTACATCACCGGTTGCTAATTACAAAAAATTTAGGCTGTGTCAACCGGTATTGTACAACAAACTGTTCGGACACACAGTGCCCCACAATATATTACTATCATTCATCCAGATGGAACGTATGTACAGACACGATCAGTACGAACGCAAAAAAAAAACAATAAATTAATACGAACGCGTCAGTTAAAATCCAATGAATTTACACACATTGTTGTTATAAGTTTATAACAGACGGAGCGAAAAACGCCTACTTTAATATCACGTAGCTCAATTTGAGACAATCATAACATAACAAGGCCTAATTATATTCTGCCCATTGAGGAACACAAAAAAAGGAAGATTAGTTACTTAGCGCTCAATATCATTGGCTTCTGCAATGTAGTAACAAGAGGCTTTAATTGAATATAATTGTTTAGTGCGCTACAATGGCATTACATGACGCTATCGATGTGTTTATACATTTAAGTAATAAGCTGTCGCATTTTCATATAAATCATGCACCCTTATGGCACAATAAAACCAATCCTCATTTTATCAACTCTGGGAGTCCTATCTGTCCACAACCTTTTAGGTGACTTAGTGCGGTGTACACAGGCTTTATATCCAACTACATGGAAATCAACAGGTAGATTGGTTTTCTCACAATTTCGTCTCGAGTAAAGCAGCAAGTATTTTTCGCCCCGTATAAATAAGAGAGAAAGTAACACACGATCTGACAACAGACTAACACCGAGTACGCGTTCACGCATTTTCACTCACACGGAATATTGTCTTTGCACGCATGGCACACATTTTACAGCTCATCGTGGTCATCCTGAGGACAAAAAAAACTGCTATTAGTAGTTTCATTGGTATATAAATAATTGAGGTAAATTAATATCTTTAATTCTTTAAAATAGTAATTTTTGTGTTTGTTTCCTGTTTTTTTTTTCAATATTATTTTTAATATTTTTCGTTGACAATCTCTCAGTATCAATAAGTAAAAAAAATATGAAATGGATTTTTTTTATTTTACTATTTGGCATAATAAAATGTTTTTTTTTTTTAATTGACGAGAATTTAATAAAAGGAATTTGGGTGATAAAAAATGTCGCCTACGAACTGGAAAACTCCTCACCACAAGTTTTCCAGTTCTTTTTTCTTAGGCTTATTAGATTTCTTTACTCTGCAGCTAAGTTCTGTGTTGAGTGAGATTTAACAAAACACTCATGCCAAAAGACGATAGTAGAGCAATTTTAGGATCCAAAACTAATTGATGAACCTTTTGCTCTCTTACTTTCCGTTACTTATTATTGGACTTACCGTAGGCACAGGCTCAGCATCATCCAAGTCCTCATCATCCTCATCTTCGTCCTTATCTTCAGCCTTGGTCTTCTCTCGCTCCGCTTCATCCTGCTCATGCTTCATCTTCTTCTCACCCTCAACGCGTTTCTTCACGAGCTCGGCAGCTGCTTTCGCTGCCTCAGGGTCATCAGTGAACATGAAGTTGTCGAAGATCGTGCCAGACTTGACCTGCCATAAATCGAGACCGACGGAGCACAGTTCTTTGCGAACATATAGGGTAGGGTCCGCTGTGTACTCAGGGTTATCGATCTCGGGATGGACCCAGACTCCTTTATAGGCAGGGTTGTCAATCTGAAAAAAAAAGCAAAACTATTTTAGTCCAGGAATTAAAAAACTAATTTTTGATGCCAGTTAAAAATATAAAGCAGAGAGATGCAAGAGATTGATAACGAGGTATAACGAGGTTGGCAAAGATGCGACGTGACGAAATCAACTGTGAGTCACTGTTTTTCCTTTATGTATTTATTTACGTTACAAGTATATATGTATTTAGACCATGCCATTCATCCTCTCTCGTATCGTACCTTCAATTGAAGAGGATCATGAACCAGTGTCACGCGATAAAAAAGTAACGTTACGTACCTGTTTAGGCGCCCAGACACCCTTGTATTCAGGGTTGTCGATCATGGGAGGCTCCCACTCGCCATCCATCTCATCGTCCCAGTCCTCAGGCTTGACAGCGTCGGGGTCAGGGATATGCTCTGGTTTGTCCCAATCTTCGGGTTTCTTGTCATCGGGGTCGGGGATGGTGGGTTTGTCGTCCCAGTCTTCGGGCTTCTTGGCTTGTGGGTCCTGGAAGATTACAGTTTTTATGGCGCTGGACCTTTTTTGAGAAGTTTTTTTGCGTTTTTGTCCTCGTTACTTAAAGCAAATGGTACAATTAGGGGTACTTTATAATGTACATCTTTATACAAATGTAGTGTGTATGTGTGGTCGGTATACGTGGCCCTGGATTTATTGATGGATCCAAGACATTTTGTTTTGCTTTAAAAGGTTGTTCAACTTGATTGTCAAAGAATCGTGCAGTCACAAGTTGTTAATTAGTTCATTGCCCTGTCGTTGCCCCAGGTTTTATGAGACGACTTGTAGAGTGTGTATGTGTGCGTGTATTTTAGTCAACGGAAATGTTCAGAGCGACTTAGAAACGAATGATTTCATTGTTTCGTACAAAACAAATTCCTTTGTTATAAATAAATATGCACATAACTAATATTTGTGTAAGCATCTATTCGTTTGTCTAAAGTCTTGACGTATATACTTTACCTTGTGGGTAAAGACTCTACTTTAAGGTAGAAAACTAGGCAGTACATTTGCATTGCCTTTTGTTCGTGATTATTCTACATTGTCTATTCTTTTAACACAATAAAAGGTATTTTTTACTTGATAATTCAAAGAACCTTACCTTGATCTTCCTAGGCGGGAGGAAGTCCCAGTCAGCCTCAAGTTCTCCAGACTCCACTTTCTCATTATCGATGAGGACTTCATAGGTGTTGTCAGGTTTGACGACCAGAGTGTATACGTGGGTGTAGACGTCGTCTTTGCAGCGGATGTCCTTCTTGATTAGGTGATTCTTGCCCTTGTAGCTGAAGATAACATGTACCTAAAAAAGAAGATTTTTTGGGTTTGTTAGTATAGGTACTTTCGAGAAGTTCTATATACATACATTAATGCCTAAAGAAATGTAATTATGTCTATAGGCCATTAAGATTGGAACGCGCGGATAAAAAATATATTTTAAGTTCTCATGCTCTTAAAGTTAGTATTAGGTGTAGGCTGCATAAAATAGGATTTTATGCTCTAGTGCATAAAATAAAAAAGACCATCACATTAAATATGTCTAATTGTTGTAATTTCACATTCAATTTTAATTAAATAATTGTTTATTTGAAACATTACTGTTTAATTTCCTCGCAATTGACGTGAAAAGCAGAGTGTAAACTCGTTCATAAAACTCAAGCACTCACGCACGAACGCACTCACGCATGCACGCACGCACGCACACACAATAATAGATAAAAATATATTGTAAGTATATATTATATTTTTTGTTTGGTTAAGTCAGTTAGATGTGTAAAGGGCCCGAAACGTCGGTTTGTCTGAAAAAACAAATAAACGTGATTTAAATCCGGAAAAATAGTTTCATTTCCTATTAATTAAGTTTATTTTTAAACATGTACCTAAGAAAGAGCGGCGCCTCCTGAGAAGGAGGCTCCAGCCACTATTATTTAAGTAACCATGTTTGAAGATAAACAAAGATTATTATTAAATAAAGACTACTATAACTGAACAAATCACAGAGGGCAGAAAAGCTATTGTCGCAAAATGCTTACAACCTCATTGTACTTTAATAATGTGAAAATAGAGTAATTGTAGGATTAGCACATAGAGTGCTTTATTAAAAATACATTTAGTAAGAGCATGATAATAATAATAGAGCTCTTTGTGAAAGAGTTCATCCGGGGAAGTACTGTCACTATACCATTTCTGCCGCAAAGCAGTAACGTGTGTGGTGAAACTACAAGTACCTACATGGAACTTGTCAACTTTTTGTCTCAAGGTGACGGGCGCAGTGGCGATCTTCGCGATTTAAAACTCTGAGCAGCACTACAACTGCTATGGAGAGGCTGTCGCTTAAAAGTCTATACTATACTATATTTTTTTACAAACGAATTTAAACACATTTGAAAATGTATATCCTATAGTACACGTGTTCTATAGTTAGTTCAGTTGACATACAAAAAAAAGCATTGGTATGTATAAAGTACCTATTAAATACAGTGGTTTTCGTGTAAAATTTCGAGGTAAGTTTACATGTTCTGTTTTTTCTATCGTGTAAATTTTTAGGAATTGTGTTTTCACGCCATTTAGTAATTAGTGTACATCCTCAATTTTACTATTTATTTTTTCTAAAATGATTGATCAACACTTTCGCTGTTATGCGGAGTCAAAAAAAGCCATTTGATGTAGTACAGACTGTTAACACCAGGCGCACGACTTGATCGTTCCGTTATTTGGTATCACAAAAAAAAAAGTAAGATACTCTGATTTGTATTACTAGTAAATGTATAAAAAAACAATGAGCTACTTTTCTACCATCAAGCAGTAATGCGAGCATTATTGGTGCTGATAAAATTACAGGTACATGAGACATATCCACTTATGTCTCAGGGTGATAGGCGCAGTGGCAGTGTTCCTCAGATCTTCGTGATTTAAGGTTCTGAATGGCACTGAAATTGATCTAAGTAAGTGTGTCACATGCCACCAGGTTGACAACTTGTTCATTCCGTCACTGCCGCATTTGTACTCTACATATCGCACAGTTAATATCGTCTGCTTAAAGGTAAATCCACATAAGTGACATTCTACAATTCCACAAAAAATCTCCAAATTATGTACCTCTTGTAAAAAAATCACCATCTTTCTGCAGATAAAACCACTCATTGAGTTTTTACCTTTTTTTATTGAGTTTCACCTGCAGAAAAATAGTGATTTTCTTACCATAGCTATATGAAGACTTTTTGTAGAAATGTCACTTTAATTTAGTATTTATTTATTTATTTAGTATTTATTTTTACCTTTAAACAAACGATATAATAGTGTATTAACTCAAAAAGTGTATTTATTTCAGGACCGATGAAAAACGAATTACTTCCTGTGAAATATTATAAAAATTTAAGTATAGGTTCAAATTTATTACAGGCATCTAACCAATTTCCTACATTGCCAAATATATTTATAAGTAGAAGAGAAACATTTCATGTTTTTGAGTGAGGACTGTTATGTCCAGAACTAGGTTACAAAAACTTTGTCTAATTTGCGTTAAGCAGATATCTTTTAATTATTTCTGTTAATATTGTAACGATAGTTGAATTAACGTGTAGAGAATTAAAGTTTACTTCCAGCAATAGTATAATCATGAATTTAACCTATTTTGAGTTACAACACTATTGTAATAGCAGTGCGATATAATTGTATAAATATTCAATAAAAATTGTAGACGCAGCAAAACATTTAGCTGCGTACCGAAAAGTAATAATCAGGTGATAAACATCGGGAACGAATTTAATTACTCGCTATCAAAGGAATAGACGATAAAACATGAAAGTAACTGAGTAGCTGCGAAATTTGCGATATAGAAAATGGAATCTAAGTCATACACTTCTTTCGATGACCGCATTGATAAAAACACTCATTAAAAAGTTCGTAATTTCTTAATTAGGTCAACCAATAAGCTCAATTAAGTAATTTGTTAAGTTAAAACTTAAATGCAAGCATATTAAAATCTCATTTTAACTTGGTAATTGTTACCCAGTGAAGTTAATTGCAGTTTCTAATCGTCTGTGAAACTATGTTGTTGCAATTGAGTTATACAATATCCTGATAATGGTTCACTAGTCTGTTTGTTTATGAAATTTTAAGTTACAGGAATAGGTTATTACGTCAGAAAACAGTTGATTTAATCATTTCCTTTCTAATTTACCTGAGTTTTATAATATCGCGTCAAACATGTTTATTGCTCTATTCGATACCGAAAAATATAAGCTAAATCCTCTCCAATTCTTGTAACTCTATATATAATATTAGTCAATAGTATTACAAGAATTGGAGAGGACGTGGGTTATATTTTTCTGTATCTTTTAATGTTTTTGACGTAACTTAAATTATGCCATTCTTCTATGAGATATGCAGTATATTGACACATAAGTTTTTTTTTTTGAAAAACGTCGAAACACTGATTTTGCGTAACAATAACACTGAAACTAAATAAGATAACGGACTCATCCGAAGAACAGAGTCCGATGTGATTATACAACGAAAAGAGGATAAATACATAATCTCGTTATTCAAAATAAGGTGTAAGCTTATAGGTGTTTTCAGAATTTTATATATTATTTCGTTTCAGAAATATAAAATCGATCAACGGTCGATCTGATATCGACAACTAAGAACAGCGAACGTAATGTACAATGTTCTAAGAATAAGCAGTCTTGCACATAGGTTTGGGTTCTACGGAAGAGGCGATTAAAAAAAAACTGTTTATTTTCGTTCGTTCGCAAATAATTATTTGGGTACGTTAGTTATGCTTCATGCATCTTTTAATTTGATTGAGTATTTATTTGACAGTAAATATTTCAGGCGAAGAATAGGCGTAAATTCGAAACGTTGATGCCTTTGAAAAAAAAAAACACGCAATTTAGACCCGAAAAAATAAGTTTCTTTTCTTATGTGTAACAATCGCCGCCGCGAATTTTCATCGCTGAAACTCGTGACTCCCATCTCTAACGAAATGACAAACTTTATTTTTATGGTTAAAAATACATAATTTTAATAATAGGTTTTGTTCAGATGTTCAGGACAAAACAAAGTGATGTACCCTATTGTGGACTTGCGTGCGGAAAACAAACATCAATTGTTGCAATCCATAAACAATATTTTGTTTTTGTCAAACAGTCATACGCGCGTGAGAGCGTCAGGCATACAATAGAACTGTACGCTGGTGGAAGTCGGATTTTAATTAACAAAACAATATGGTTTATTTTAGGTTTCACGTCTACCAAACGTTGTTTATAAATAAAAATATGTAGGTACAAGTGATCATGGTAGTGCTTCTGCTATGCGCAAAAAACAAAACCTGTAGAACTTGAACGGAATTGCCGGTTTTCAAATTGTATTATTCCGAAAATATGTTTAGAAAAATTTGCCTAGTGGTACTAGAATGTTTTTTGGGTATAAAATCATTTAACCACCTTTCTCAAATAGTAGAGACAGTAACAGAATACTTTTATTTCCAATTAGTATTAAGGACTTGATACCCGAGTATTTGGGTACTAATATCGGGTGTTCTATAGTGTAAAGGCCCTCATATAAAACTTGCGTAATTTTGTGATAAAAATTTGGTGATTGTTAAAATTAATTCATATCGCATTAATAATTAGCAGTCAGTAATAAACGTTTTTGTTGGATAAGCTATCTTTTACATTCATAGTGCCGTGACACATTTATAGGACTTTGGATACCTGTTTTTTATCTTTATTACTTTCAGTTACGATTAAATAGAATTTTTGTAAAATTGAAAAATTATAGATATTACTGACCCATATAGTTCTTATATATATATATATATATAATATATATATATATCAATCATATAAAAAGTAGATTAGTGTAAAAGATTTAATGATACCATTGTCTGATAAGAATCTTCAATACCATTCAATGCCACACCAATCACGCGACTATTGTAGTTTAATATTATAGTTGAGCTCATATGGTCTGTACGTTACTGAGGGAATTAATTTGGAATTTATATATATTATTTATTACTTGTACACTTTCCCTCAAAATAAAACTTTTAAATTATGTCTATTCGCGGTAAAGAAGGCGAAAGGGATATGATGATAGAAATTTCAAAATTATTTATCGATTTCCTTATGAAAAACAAAAAGAGGCATAGGCAAAACATCTGTAGGGACCTAAAAATACATGCACAAATATTTTCACACTCCCATGACTACACAGAGCCATTTCCTTCACAAATATATTTACAAGACATACCCTTGGTACAAAAAAGCCACTATGATCATAATTATATCAAAAGTGCTTTTACTACACGAGTCATAAAAATGACACTAAGTACATGAAACAAATGGTGTAAAAGTGATATTTTATAACTTTCCTATATAAGATTACTCATTGTTTGCAGATTTTATAAACCTCTACCCTAAACAATTTACAGATGTAGTCCTATTACACCAAAGGTATGATAAATGCATGAAGGTAAACAAGAAACTTGCAATAATCTTAATACAGTTTTAAATATTTTAATCCCTTGCAGCACTAACGGACAGACAAGTAATTTTGTTGAAAACAAAGAATTACAAATCCTACTTACACAGTACATGTACATCTAGATTGAGAATCTGCACCCCTCATGGAAGAATCCCATAAGTGAAGTTATGTCAAAAATGTTTATTGCTGTATTAGATGCAGAAAAGTATAACCCACATCCTCTCCAACTCTTGTACCTCTACGACTAATATTGTAGATAGAGTTACAAAAATTGGTGAGGATGTGGGTTATATTTTTCTATATCTAATGGAGCAAAAAACATTTTTGACATAACTCCACTTATGCCATTCTTCCATGAGGGATGCGATGAAAACTGGACCTTAATGAATTTTGGTGGAAAAAATTATTTACATAGTTCAATGGAAGTAAATAAATAATTTTATAAAAGTCCATCTTTCACATGATTCTAGTTAACCCAAAGACATAAAATATTAAAAAGAAAAGCAATCTTACCTTTTTGGTACCGGGACCGCAGATGTCAGGACCAAACATGATTTCGTAGGGTGTCTCTCCATGCATGTCCTTCGAGTCAAGCTTGCAGTCGAACACCTTCAGGTATCCACCTCCGCAGTCAATGTCCTGTTCGTGCTTGACGGAGAATTGAACAACCAGGGTCTTGCCTTCATTGCTGAACGGCTTGAACTTTGTTGATAGCGCATAGAACCTCGCATCCTCAGATGTTTGGAGACCTGTAAAATGCCAGGGTGGTATTGGGGACGATTCCAATTTTTACTTAATTAGTCGCAGAATAGACATATTGTATGAATGAATATATTATTTTCCAGAGACTCCCAAAAGCACTTAAGTGTACTTATAGGTACCTAACCTACATGTCCCATCAAACAAAGTACATCTTATGACTAAAATTATCTTTAGGGGCGTAGGCATAACTAACGTTTAGGTGATAAAAGAATAATGAATAATAATAAATTATGATTAGCGACTGTTACATCGTTTGGACATAAAAATTAACCAATTAGAAAGGCACCTTTGTCCTCCTCCGGATCACTGTAGAACTTTCCAGCAGTCAGCTTGAATTTGCCGAACTCCTTGCCAGGGTGCTCACTGTACACCCACTTGGATTCCCACGAGTCTGCAATGACAAATTATCCCTTTTTACATAGAATAATACCCAAAATAAGCCGGCTGCCGACACAGAGCCGATCGATATGATAGCACACGCGGCAAGCCGGCGAGACACCAAAGTACGACATTTCGAGTAAAACAATATTCTACACTTACCATCGGGGAATTTCTCTTCAAAATACACTTCACAGTTTATTGAATAAACCGCCAGTAAACTGACAAAAATTAACGCTAAGGATTTCATTTTTTGATTTGCACAAACCACCCTCACTGTCAAAGGACTGGCCACGAATAATTTCGAATTTAGTCGAATGGACTATTATAAAACTAGCGTCTTGCTATCTCACCCACACCTTGCAGTACTAATTAAGAGTAAAAGAGTTCAATAGAAAATCAACATTCAATTCTGAATTGTGCGAACGAAATACTGACCAATTTTTTCGCATTCATTCTAACGAGAGTGAAAGAGAAAACAAATAAGAAGCATTGACGTATAGCGATCAATTACGACAGACAGATGGAAGCCTGTTATTGGTTGCCTTTACCCAATGGCGTTTGAACACACTGCAAAAATTATTGAACGGGAAAGCGGGAATATTTGAACGGAAATTGTTTACAATTTATCACAATTCTGTAATTTCAAAAAACTTTTTCCAAGCAAGTATATAGAAGCATAATAAAATATGATAAATTCCCTTTTTACTTATTGTTATATCTGAATAATCTTCAAAGCAATATACTTTCATTTATATAAAAAAAAACAATAACACAATGCAACATATTTGGGCCAATCACGGGTGCACATGACATTAGAGAGAGAAGTGAATACAAAAGGACTATAGTGCGAAAGAAACTACCTATGCGTTTATTACGTGGAGACTGTAGGGTGTCTCACGTATTGAATTACGCAAACAATTTTACTACCTATTTGTATGAAATTACTAACATTTGAGTTATTCGAGGCCGTTTCTTTATTGGAAATTCGTTCTGGCAAGACCTTCTTTTTTACCGGCTAGCCTTCACCGGTGCATTTTATGCCTTTCAATTCAAGTACATTGACCCATTAGTCTCAACAGAAACTGCATCTCCCGGCTGGATCAATATCCTAAGACATCTGAGGCACATCTATACCTAAGTACAATGATGTCTCATCGTATGTTTTGATGAGTTTATGACAATTTAGAGTTTAACAGACAAAACTGTATTGAATTATTATTATTATTACAACGTAAGCTGATGCTTATCATAACCATTGACTTACGTAATTATTAAATTAATCGAAGTACATTATATATTGTATCTACTTGCATACCATCTTTAGTTTTTTAATATGTAGTAATAAGGATTTCCTTTTCCCATGAAATAACGCTACCATAGATTATACTGAGCTAGTACCTACCTATATTCCGTATCTTTTTTGTACAATCGGGCAGGTATCATTACAGTACAGACTATCTACGATGAATAAGGGGATGAATAAGAATTTATATTAGAGACTTACAGTAGTATAATACCCTAGTGTGCTGAGACGACTACTTTAATTAAAATTTAAAAGAAACCCCGGTACAAAACAGTGTAAATACCTACTCCAAAAAATCACCACGTAACAAGGTACTCTTTGAAAGTCACCACGTGTAAGCCAAATATTCGTCGAAATCAATTCAATGAGCCCAAACACGATTGTTCTGCTATGAGTAGTTGAAGAATTGAGTGGTTGGGTAAAACTACCCAAACTAGGGTCTGCAAACGCAGACCCTAGTTGTCGTATCAGTACCTCTACCATGAGATTACAGGGGCAATTATCGCTAGCGACCGCGTAAAATGTTAGTATACAAAATGTTGTTTCGTCTTGTGACCGCTAGAGGCGCTGTATAATTTGCCATACAAAATTGTGAATTAATTTACGCGGCCGCTAGCTACAAGTGTCACAGTAATCTCGTGGTAGAGGCATAGATCAAGATTACCATATCATTACAATGTCATCGGATTTCTATAGTATATCAAATTTGAAGTCAATCGAACAAGTGGAAATAAAATAATAATAATATTAATAATAACGCACACACTCAACATAGCCCCGCACTATGGAAACCCAGTGTCGCGGGTGACATGGACACACACATAGACAACCCAAATCACACCCAAACTCACGAGAGAAATAAATGTAGGCCATACAAATATTTCTCCCGGCCCGGGAATCGAAATGGGCGAGTCACGTCTGTCGCATGTCACAAGAACTGGGGGCAGAGACCACCATAGAGTGGATCTCATCCAAAGCAAACCGGAGACGTGGAACGCCCAGAAGGAGATGGCGTGACGAGCCAAATGCTCATAGCAGTCCAGCCGTTTGGTAGCTAAGATGCCGCAGACAGACTCAGGTAAAGGGCGGCAAAAGAGCGACATAAAATAGAAAATATACATAATTTCATTAAGAAAGAAGATATCCATAATATAAACCTTACAACTAAGTCCAAACTCATGGTACCACGATTTCGTTTAACTAAGGTAAACGATTCTTTTATGGGGAATTGTATACGTTTTTACAATAACACTTCGGAGAATGTATTAAGATTATCATTTCCTAAGTTTAAAACTTACATTAAAAGTATTTTAATAGAAGTCATATCACAAAATTGAAAAGTATATTTGAGATAAAGACAACAAGAGTCTACATTCCACACAATTATGATTAAAAGTGTATTCCATAGCATTTAAGCTTATTTGAAAAGAGCAATCCCTAGAGTTTCTTGCTCGTTCTTCTCAGGAACAGGTCAGCGTAGTGAACGAGCAGTAAAAAAATCTATCAATATTTCGAAATTCATTGCAATCGTACTAACATAGTTTTAAGGTTTTCTTTTGTAACTAACATCATTATCTTATGGGCTACGGCCTGAAATAAATGATTTTATTATTATTATTATTAATAGTGCGTGGACCGGTTTTTGTTTGACATCTTGCTAAAGTTCTTGATAGGACAGTTCTTAAAACGGGCATAGGGCCCTGCATAGGCACGTTATATGGGCTAAGGTGAAATACCCACTCAGATAGTTATAACGTGGTCTTGGCGCCCGTGTTTACATTTTTACGATCGCAGTTATCAGTGTGACTAATTGAAAGTTCCTGACTTGACGATAATCCACGGCGGCGCGACGAATAGGCATATTATTCAAGAAATGCCAAACATGTTATTGCTTCCTTTGGTTACATAACTACATACATATCATCTATATTGCCTGCCGGGGTAGGCAGGGACCATGGACTTCCACCTGCTGTACTCCTTACAAACCTTCGCCTCCTCCACCCCCATCCGTCTCTTCATACATGTCCGTTATTCTTAGTATTTTTAATTGCTTCCTTTGGTTATACCTAAATAGTTGATGAAGCCTATATAAAGGTCAAAACGCTATATTCGTGAAATTATAGTGATTTTCTTGTTCTTATAACAATGTTGTCAAATAGAAAATGAAACTATTTTTCCGGATTTAAATCACATATATTTGTGTTTTCAAACAAACCAACGTTCTGTCAATCGTGACCATGGGACCTGTAAAGGGCCCGAAACGTTGGTTTGTTGGAAAAAACAAATAAATATGCGCGATTCAAATCCGGAAAAATAGTTTCATTTCCTATGTAACAATCGCGAAAACCTAAGTACTAGAAATGTTGTCAAAGTTTTCACGTCTACCCATAACGGTTGCAGAGCCACACAAATCTCGCAAATATCTGAAGTGCATTGCCATTGCTCGCGTCACCCTGAAACTTTAAAGCTGAAGTCTCACTTGCCAGTAGCACCTGTAGATACGTCATCACCTTTATCCCCCACTACCGCTTGGCGGCAGAAATAGATATGATTAGTCATTGGTAAAAATATGCGTCATTTCATTAAGAAAGAAAATATCCATAATATTAACTGTTATGGACAGGCGTGTAGTTTACCATCAGGCGCACGACTTGTTCGTCCCGTCACTTGATGTTATAAAAAAAATAACCTTAATATATAAGTCCAAACTAATGGTACCACGATTACCTTTAATCAAGATAAATGACTCTTTTATGGTACTGTATACGTTTTTATAATAAGATTCCGGAGCATATTTTGCGATTATCATGTCCCAAGTTTAAAACCTACAATAAAAATATTTTAATTGAACTGTCATATGACAAAATTAAAGACTATCTGTTAAATAAAAATGTATAGAAAGACGACATGGCTTTAGATTCCATACAAATTTGATTCAAAGTGTATTCCATAGCATTTAAGTTTTTCTTTTAAAGAGCAATCCCTAGAGTTTCTTGCTTGTTCTTCTCAGTGTCACTTAAAAGTGACGTTTTCAAATGTAAATTTATTTTACCTACAGGAATAAATGATTATTTGCCTTTGACTTTGGTAGGTATTACTGTATAAAACGTTTATATACCCTGCAAATGTTGTAATAGGTTGATTGTGTAACGTACGAACTAGATACGAACCAAATTCTTCCGCGGAATTCTTGCACATGCTCGAGAATGCTCGCGCATTCCGCGGAAGATTTTGGCTATAAAGTTACACAATTGACTATAAAGTTAATTATGCTATGTACATCATTGACTTAACAATTATATGGACGTCGGGTCCGCGCTAAAAAGTGTCTGAACTTATAGGGCGTTAAAATCGTATACAGAGCGTCATTCACGCTTTAGTCTTCGTTTGTTCGACTGACAGCGAAGCAAGCAAAATTAGACAGTACTGCGATGACATTACAGTTTAAATTCAACGTTTTAGCTTTTTCATATTTCTTTACATGTCACTACGTTTAAATAGGTTGACTTGGGACATTTTTGTCGTGGTTTTTTTATTAGACCCGTCGTCCATTTATTTGTAAGTCAATGATGTACATACAAGATCGTTACAAAAATTCCCTTCCGCAATATAAATTGAGCCTTAGGCGAGCGGATAGGGATTACATTACACATTATGTACAAGGTCTATATCACGTGATGCTGGATGCTTAAGGAACTCGCTTACGGAAAAAACGATCCAAGTCCAAAGAATAAAGTTTTATATGATTTTGATTGCTCTGTTTGCTACTGGTACCTAACTAAAAAGTCAGAAGTTTGTACGCTGTTGCTTCTAGTTTGAAAAGGATCCACCCTGTGTATCGGTAGAAAGCAGCTACGCAACCTATAACGCACACACTCAACATAGCCCAGCACTAGGGAAACCCTGTGTCGCGGGTGCCACGGACACACACATAGACAACCACAAATTACACCCATATTTATATATTTTTCCCGGCCCGGGAATTGAACCTGGGGCCTCTGCGTGGCAGTCCGGCATGGTAACCGTTCGGCCACGGAGGCAGTTAGTAGTACCTACCATATCCTTTTTCATCCAAATCCCGTACCTCTTCAAAAATCTGTAATTCTGCTTTCCCAACCCTTTCTTCATTGGCGAAATGCGAAGGCAAAGCCATTAATATTTAAAAAAAAACTCTATTAGATTGTAGCGCCTGTGAATGTCAACCAGCCTACAAATAGTGGCCATTTCAGGGTTTAATTTTAATTACAAATAAATTGTTATAAAAAAAACAACAGTAAATTAAACGTATTTATTTGAACAAAATAACTACGTAACTGTACTGTAATTGTACACTTGCTACTAAATAGAAAAATCTGTCTTAAAGTCGTAATCATCCTTTTTCTTTATCGTGGTTAAAGTTACATTTTCTAGAACGCCTGCAAGATCGACCGCATGTTTTTCATTCTTAGCCCTTTTCTTTTTGTCTTTTTTGAATTGTATTTTTCTTAATTTGTTTTGCTTCGTGTTTCCTTCTATTAACATTTCGGGGTCGTGTTTGTTTTTGTCCTTGTTTTTATTGTTCTTGTCTAGTTTGGAGCGAATGTTCAGTGTTTTGGGGAGAATGGAGGATTCGTCTTCGTCGACTTGCATGTCATCTTCGAGGGCTGCCTTTACGGGACCTGTGCTGGTAATCTGTAAAGAAGGTAACGTTTTACAGGATTTATACTAAATACAATTTAAACATTTTTGTCAAAAAAAATGACAAATTGAGTTACGAAATTGTAAACCTTATCACATAGTAAAAAGTACCAAAATTAACAATAAAAAAAATATTTAAAAAGCTATAAAATATAGATTATAACTGACAAGTTAATTTGGACTCTAAAATTAGGAGCCACATCTGACTTTCGACAGAAATTGATTCTTTAAAATTATATTTATTTTAGTACAGTCATTTCAAATTTAATGAACACAGAAAAAAATTATGCGCCATACAATGCTGCGTTTGATGACTGGCATTGCTGATGTGGGAAGCAAAACAGACAGCCTTAAATGGGATTGGGCGGGTCCCGCGTTAGCCGGATGAAACCCTAGAAGTGGGCGAACGTCGTCACTCCTTAGGTGCCTAAGGATGGAAAGCGACGGCGGGGATGGCCGAAACGACGTTGGCCGGACGATCTTAATGGGTTTGAGAGGGAGTGGTGGAACACAATAGGTTAATAAAAAAAATAGACAACGAGTACCGAATATAATTGAATACCACCGCCCAACTAAATCGAGAACAACAATTGCCCTTTGAAAACGCGTGTATTCAAATGTTTCATGAGAGCTATATATAATGCATACTGATATGAAGTTGAGACTCGTACCGCCTAAGCTTGTGACAAGGCGATCATCGTCATCTCACCTTTTTATCACCCTTTTCTCTGGTTCCTGACCACTTAATTTTGAAAATTTGAATCATTCTTTAATTCCTTCTCTTCGTCACTCTTACTTTTCTTCTTTCTACTAAATTTCCGAAGCGAGCACACGTGCTCGCCTTCATTTGAAATTCTGACCAGTTATGCCATTGAAAATTATGTAACCTAACTACTCATAAAACATCAGTATATCGCACCCCTTATGGAAGAATGGCATAAGTGGAGTTACGTTACGGTTACGGAGCACGTATTAGATACAAAAGATTAACCCACATCCTCTCCAACTCTTGTAAACTCTATCGACTAACATTGTAGATTGAGTTACAAGAATTGGGAAAGATGTGGGTTATATTTTTCTGTATCTAATGGAGCAATAAACATTTTTGACGTAACTCCACTTATGCCATTCTTCCGGGAGAGGTGCGATATGTAAGAATACAGGCTGACAAATATGACCGTTTACACATGAAGCCAAATAAAGAGTTAAAATATTGATATGACCATGGTGTGGACGGTTTATTTGCGTATATTGCGCAGAGTTAACTGTTTAACAATATCAGCTCCATTAGTTCCGTTCACGGCCGCTAGGGAGATTAAGGCGCTGCTAATTTATGTATGCTCTTGTTAATTAGTAGCCTTCCATTAATTCACAAATTACCTTTCCAATGCAATCGTAAATAACCAGGTTAGTTAATTATAAAACGTAACTGTTAGAAGTGTTAGTCATGATGTTGGATTGTATAAATGCGTAATGATAAATATGTATGAATATGTTATAATAATACCATTGTATTTGTATGGTAATTCTAGACGTTTCTGTTAGGTGATATTGCGCGTTATTTCGTTTTTGAACAGTTACAGATACCGCCACTTATTTGTGGCCAAAAAGACATAAGGCTTTTGTTAAATACAGTTGAAACAGGTGGCTGAAAACGATTGTTTTGGTTGAGAATTTTTTTATTGTTAATTATTTAATTGTATGTTGCTATGTAAATATGTAAGGTGACTTTTTCAATATTGTTCTTATTCTAGAAAATACTATAACTCTTTTATAAAATAAATAATACGTGACATCACAATGTCTACATACGGTCAATTATGAACATTACAAATTGGAACCCTGTGCATACGATAATCGATTTTATTTGAAATGAGGAATTTTGGTATTTTGTATACACTTATCTATAGCCCACTATACCCCTTACCTCAATACACACACTAGCATAATTAGCGGAACAAAAAAGGTGAGAAAATAAAACTGTGACGTTTATATTGAAATAAGTAAGAATTTGACATAATGTCGCAATACAATTAACACCGACTTAGTAACAGTCTTGCTCGAATTGAAAAAAAAAAAAAAATAAAACTATTTTTTTTTTTAGATACAAAATAAAACCTGTATTTGTAGAAAAATACAACAAATGCATGAAACGACTGTAGACTAATTTTCTTATTTCAATTTAGACTCAAAATAAAAACGTAAAATAACAATATAAAAATTATAGTATTATTTTGGAGATTTCTTTGTACAATAATCATCGGATGTCCCGGGTTCAAAATCTCAGTAAAACGAATTTGTCAAAAAGAACTATTCTAAATTGACTAGGTTTATAAAGAGCGTCATTATAAGGAAGTGTTCAATGGTTTACAAGTTAGGTAAAAATTCGTGGATTGGTCTCTAGCCGCAATGAACGCTATAACTTGGGCCTTTTCAAAGCGAGAGTGGATAAGCATTATTTTTTAATGATAAAATTACGTTAACAATTATTGTTTTTGACTTTTTAACCCTTGTAGGGTACAATCTAAATTAGTATGGTCTTGGAGTCGTGACTTTTTTTATAATATCAAGTGGCGAGACGAACAGTCCCGAGTCTATGGAAGGAGAGATACACCACGGCGTCACTCATTCCGTTGTCGGAACACCTCCCTCCTGGGCATGATCTACCTTGGCAAACTTGAAAGTCCCTAAATAGGCTGCGGACCCAAGTCGGCCGAAGCAAGGGGTGCATGCACGGATGGGGTTACAGCTCGGAGAGCGGGTGTCCGTGTGGTGTCTCTCCCCAGACAATGGCACATCTTTTGTCCTGCCCTGCGTGTCCCTACACCTGCACACGCGAGGACCTGTACAACGCCACTGATGATGCTATCTAAGTCACTAAGTACTGGTGCTCACAAATATTAGGGGTTAAAGTATGAAATTGCCGTTTTATTGCAATAGGTT